GTTTTTTTTTTGAAAAATTTTTTTTTTTTGTTTATTTCTGTTTTTTTTTTTTGATAGGATTCTGTAACAGGTCTTTTGTTGGCTGGCATTGGTCATGTTAATGGTCCCAAAAAGAATTTTCTCGTTGTCGATTCAAGTAAGAACTTTTTTACCCGATAAATATTCTTTTATTTTATTTTATTTTATTTATTAATAAATTGGGGTATTCTACATCTTTTATATAGAAACGCCAATCTCAAAGATAGAAGATGCTTTTATTGAGTTTACAAAAAACAAAGAAATTGCAATTATTCTAATCAATCAACATGTTTGTATAATAAGAAATAATTCAAATTCAAACTTTTCAAAAATTAACTTATTAATATTTTAAATTTTTAATCTAAATTTGATAAGGTCGCTAATGATATTCGTCAGCTTTTAGATGATCACGATCAAGCTTTCCCAACAGTACTTGAAATTCCATCTAAAGATCATCCTTACGGTATTATCTATCATATAGATATTTTTTTCCTTTATAGATATATATATTTATTTTTTTTATCTATTTCAGATCCTGAGAAGGATAGTGTTCTTAAACGTGTACAACGTCTTTTTGGAGAATAATAAATAATTTATATAATTGTCTATTTATTTTTTAAAAAAAAAAGTTATAATTTTTTTTTTCGTCATTTTTATTTAATATTAATGTGGCATCTTTGTTTTTTATATAGGATGAATTTTAATGTATTTTTATTTAACGAATAAAATAAGTTTAATTATTTAATAAGAAAGTCAAAAAAGGATATCCTTTTTTATTATAATTATTATTTTATTTTCATTATTACGTACAAATGGTTGGTATATAATACTTGAAAATATTACCTAATTTTACAATTAAATTATTCAAGTGGAATACCTTCATATTCGTTATAACCTAAAGCAAGATTCATATTCTGATGAAAAGAAGATAAAAATTAAAATTAAATTTTTTTTTTTTTAAAAAAAAATTTTGATTTAAATATGAACACATACCTGTAAAGCTTGAGTGGCAGCACCTTTCAATAAATTATCGATGGTACCAACTACAACAACTCTTTTACCAGAAGAATGTACACCAAATCCGCCAATTTTTACAAAATGTTTTTCAGAATTCTCTTTTACAAGTGGAATATCATCTACAACTTTAATAAGTTTTTCTCCTGAATATTTTTGTTCATATAATTCTCTAATCTCTGAAGATTTAAAAGTTTTGTTTAAAGGAATGTTAACAGTTAGATGAATTCCTTGAAAGAAAGGTGCAACATGTGGAATAAAATTAACTTTTGTTCCTAAACGATGAGAAACTTCGCGTTCATGAATATGATCTGTTAAAGAATATGCTATCAAATTGTCTTTAAGGAATGCTGGATCATTTTTTGGTGATGGTTTTGTACCAGCGCCTGAATAACCTGAAACCCCAAATACTGTTGGAGATTCTGAGATATATGGAATTAATGGAGCAATTGAAAGTTGTGATCCCGTTGCATAACAACCAGGATTTGAAATTCTGGTAGCTTTACGAATAGTATTACGATCTCCAAGTTCTAATGAATTAAGATTTTAATTTTAATTAATAGCTAATAAAAAAAAATGTTTAATATTTTTTTTCTGTCTTACATACCAGGTAAACCATAGGTCCAATCATCAGTAAACCGATAATCTGCACTCAAATCAACAATCAAACTTTTGTCAGTTCGGCTTTCATTAACAGCTTGGACAAATGGTGCACAAACCCCATTGGGTAATGCCATAACCCAACAATCAACTTCGCCGTTCTTTTGCATCTCTTTAATTTGTTCAATTTTCAAATTAACATAAGACAAATTATCTTTTGTATATTCAGTCAATTTTTGTCCTTCAAGTTCCCGAGAAGATACATGAGATAAAGAAATATAAGGATGAGAATTTATAAGTGAAATTAGATTACGTCCAGTATATCCGCGAGCCCCAATTAAAGCAACTTTTGTTGGACTTGTAGACGTAGAATATTGACGACGCATCAAATTAGGATAGTTTTTTCTAGCAAAAGTTGAATATGATCGAGAACTATTACTGAATGCATTTCCAGGTTTGCTACCGGCTTTACTAGATAAAAAGCCATTAATGACGTTGCTAACATCAGCAACGTTTTCGATACCATACCAAAACAATGTTTTACCATTTCGAGTAAAGCTACCATCAGATCTTTTAAAGAACCAAGATATATTCTCATCATTCTCATCTACAATCCAAGTTAATCGAGAATAATCTTTTTGTATCATAGTCCAAATGTTATCTGTTACATTGTTTAATATACCATTTTTGGATGCAATAAATTTATCAAGGAACGGAATACCATCAGGTTTAGAATTTTCCTGTGTGACAACAGCTAAAACTTCATAAGGTTCATCGCTATAAATTGCATGAGATTTTTTTCCAAGTTGTTTAACATATGAAGCAGGATCAGAAGAAATTTCGGAATTTTGTTGTAAAATTTGGTGTAATTTATTATTATCAGTTTCATTAACAGAATTATATTTAAATAGACGATATCCTCGACGGATTAAAGTTCCAGCTCCACAATCTGTGAACAATTCTTTATGAAGCTGACCTGCGGAAGTAATTGCGACAGATGAAGTACGAGGTAAACGATCAAGAAGTTCTTTAATCTCTCTAATCTTCAATCTTGTACCATATTTCACCCATGGTTGTTTCATATAATTTTCATATTCCTAAATTATTATATAAATTATTTAAATACGCCTTGTCAAAAAATAAAAAAAAAAATAATTAAAGATTAAGAAAATTTACCTCATCAAGATTTATAACGTCAATTTTTTTACCAGTTTCGCCATGTAAAAGACCACCTTTTTCACTTAAATAGATGATTTTTAATGGTTCTAAAACTCTAGCTAATTCACCAGCAGCTACATCAGCATTAACGTTTAAAATTTGACCAGAAGGGGTTTCAGCTAAACTAGTCAAGATCGGCAGTGCACCAGAATTAATACTTGCTTCAATAGCCTTTTTTTGGACACCGGTGATTTTTCCAACATATCCATACTTTTCTTTATCTAGATAATCGGCAACAAATACACCGCACGTAATCGGTCTCGCAGGAATGTCTAACCTTTCTAAAGCCTCAACTAGTTTAAGGTTTTCTTGTAAAAAAACTCCTCTTGCAATTTCCAAAGTTTTAGCATCCGTAACACGAATACCATCAATATAATTTGGTTCAACACCCGCATTTTCTAATAATTGATTCATTTGTGGCCCGGCTCCATGTAATACAATTGGATATAATCCAACTCGATTTAAAAATGTTAATGATGATGCAAGAGTATCTAATTCGTCTGATAAAACTGCTCCTCCAACTTTTATTACTGCAAATTTTTGTGATTCTACCGAAGCAAAATGTCGAAGATATTGCTCGACTTCTTTTCTTGAACCTATGCTATACAAAAGTCTTATAATTGTTTCCTATTGAAAAGGAAAATCATGTTAATTTTTTTTATTTACTTTAAAAATTCCTCACTTCAAACTTACTTTTTCATTCTTAGAAGAATCTCTTGTATAAAGTCTATTTTGTTGCAAATTATTACTACGATTTTTTTGTTGTATTGTTTGCCATTTTCTTGTAGATAAAGTTGATAATGAACTTATATATTTTGCTTTATATTTAAATATCGAAAAAGTTTTTGAAAGTGAAGTAGAAGAGGAACGACCTCTTGATATTAACATTATTAAATTATTTTTAAAATTTATTGATTTACAAAAATTTTTTGATACAAAAATTGAAATAGAAAAAAAATAAAACGAGTCTTTTTTTATCAATTGCAGTAAAGATGGATATTAATCTATTTAGATTGATGTATTCCATCCAGATCAATGTGGCAAATCATTAATTTGCGATTTTCCAAATCAAGGTAACAGGATTGCACAATTTAATTTATATTGTAGATCAGATACCCACTAATTTTGAAAATCCTGTTTTTCATCATGAAATTGATAAAATTTACATAAACATGCGTCATTTTATTAATGGATGAATAATTCTGTCAAACCACAGATGATAGATATCTGCATGCATTCCATAATCATCATCTGAGTTTTTTACTTTGATTTTTTAGATTTTCGTTTTGCCTTATTTTTCTCGGTGATGTGCGTCTTTACACAATTAGTTGTAATAGGCGATTTTTTTCCTATAAGTCCATAAAGTAATTCAATTTCTTTATGATAATCTGATAATTCATCATCAGGTCCAATAGGAGTTTCTAGAATCAATGGAATTTCATTTAATCTATCATCGTTCATTATTAAACGAAATGCTTCTAAACCTATATGCCCTTTCCCTATATTAGCATGGCGATCTCGTAATGATCCTAATTCGGTTTCTGAATCATTTAAATGCATCCCTCTTAAATATTGAAATCCAATATGTCGAGAAAATTCCTGCATAGTTTCTTCATACGCTTTGTTGGTACGTAAATCATACCCCTAACAAAAAGAAAATTAATTTATTTTTCATTTTATTTTATTTCATATATAGAAAAAAATGATTACCGCAGCAAAGGCATGACATGTATCAATACAAACTCCAACTCGATTTTTATCTAAAAATGAAAATAAAAAATAAAAAAATTAGAATGTAAATTTTAATATGAATTAATGGCAATATGAATTTATTTTACCGTCTACTCGTGAAATGATATCCGCGAGCTCTTCAAACCTAGATCCAATAATATTACCTGAACCTGCCTGTAATATTTTAATTGTATTAATTACAAAAAAAAGAGAGAGAAGAAGAAGAATTGATTTTATATATCAGAAAAAAAAATAATAAACACGCACCATATTTTCGATAACACATGTTACATTAGAAGTTTCCTTAAGTGCTCTATTAATACAATTTGCAATATGTTGTATAGATTGTTCTTTGGTACAATTTCCAACTGTTGAACCAGGGCTTTTTTTTGTATAATCAGTTAAAATGGGCACGAGCAAATGTCATGAACAATTATTATGTACTTACTGAAAATTATATAAAGTTAGTCCTAATAATTCACAACGTCGTAAATCTTCCAAAAAAGCTTGATAACTTTTCTCGCGTTTTTCTTGATCCGGATTACCTAAATTAATTAAATAACTTCCGTGAGGTAAAATAAATTTTGAAGCATAATTATGCTGTAAGCAATTTTCTCGGAATGCTTCAATATTCTTTGGATCTAATGGTGGAGCTGTCCATCTCCTCTGATTCCTCAAGAAAACTGCAAAAGCATTTCCTCTATTTCAAAAAAAAAACTATGAGAATTCATATTTACGTTCAAAAAGAAAATACGCGCAATTACACATTAAAATTTACCCGATAAAAAGGCTATTGGTTATAGCATTTTGTACACCTCCTGAAATACTAACATGTGCACCAACGTACTTTGTAATATTACTTAGTCGTTTAGCAAACATGTCTTGAGTTATTTTAGTTTTACGCGATTTCTTCTCAACTCGTTCAGGTTTATTTTCCAACTTTAAATAATACAATATACGCTGGTTACTTTAGTATAAATAATAATAAATTTTACAAAACCGATAATACCTTTGTCTCGCCGTCTTCACTTTTAGCAGCTTTTTTTTTTGTATAGTTTTCTTTAGTTCTCTTAACTTCTTTGTCTTTCTTATTTGGTTTAATATCCTTCCTTTTGCGTTTTTTATTCGTAGAACACGTCTCTTCTCTTTCTTTTCCTTCTTTCTTTTCCTCTTTCTTCACATTCTTATTTGGAGACTCTTCTTTTCTTATTTCACATAACCTTTCTGACCTTCTCAGACTTAACATATTTAGAGATTACAATCGATACTTTTGAAATTTGTTTCTCGCTTGATAAAGTGTTTTAAAATGTCACAGGTAAGTAATGTTGGATAAACTTTGTGATCGCGTTTATCGTAATAATTGATGTAATAACTGATCATGATCAAAAGTTTGGGATTAAACCCTGGAAAATGGATTGATCCGGATTTTCCTATATTTTGTCTTCCATATTTTATCCCATATTTTTATTCCAGATTAATTATTTAAATTTCACCAATAATTACAATTATCAAACAAAACAGAAATTTTCTTTATAGAGGGTGATCAAAATTATCTGGCCAGTTTATTTTGCTAAAATTTTGTAGATCATAATGTGAATGTAATATAAATAAAATACTTATAATCACAATAAACAATTTCCAATTTCAAAACCTATTGTATAAATTTTATAAATTTTACAATTTTGTGCAAATAAATTTAAAAATCTTAAAAATATCATACTTCTGCCAATATCAATCTGATAAACCTAAGCTTACTACCATTCAAATCGTTTCAATAAGACAGATCAAAAAAGCTATAAATTATAAAATTTCAATCACAAAATCAGAAAATATTGCATGTAACATTTAGACTTTTTAAGTGTAATTATGTAATGAATATTAATCTTACAATATTAAATTATTACCATTCAAATTCTTTCAGTAAGACAAATCTGATAAATCCAAAATTATAAAAATTCAATCACTAAATCTTAAAATAACCTTAATATACAATTTTAAATTTTAAAATTCACAAACTTTACAAATTTGAAAAATTTTATAAATTTATATAGTATTACATTTGCATAATGCCTGTAATTAATATGCAATATTATAACATAATACTTTTTCAATATTATACTTGTATATTTTATTAAATTTTCTAATAAAACTACTTGAAAAATACTATGTTAAAGGTGCATTGAAAGGTATTCTTCTAGAATATTGTAAAAAATCTTTTAATAGTATATCTCATGGAATTGGCAAATTATTTTTACAAATGGAGATAAAATTTATTATTAAATAATTCTGATTGTCTTCTGTATTTTAAAGTTACAAGAAAAGTTTCTAAAATATAAACAAAAAATCTGATTACATGATTTAGAAATATCTGTGATCAATTTTAGGATAAATATAAGATAAAATCAAATTCAGAATAAAATATAAATCAAATACAAAATAAAATATAGATCAAATCTAAAATAAAATATAGATTAATCCAAGATTTAATAATTGAATGTAATGTAATTTTTGGTAAAATTTGAGGAATTAACCTGATGAATTATCAGATTCAGAATAAAATGGATAAAATATGGAAAAATCTAAGATAAAATATGGATTAATCAATCCATTTTTATTTTAGATAAATCTGAAGTTTAATTTTAGACTTTTGATTAGTAGTATTGCATTTTATATAAAATAACTGGCTTACGGCTTACTTACTTTTACTTATTATAATATATTAGCAGTTCTTCTAATTTAAGAAAAAATTTTAAAGCCTTCTAGGTTTACTTGTTAAACTTTTTTTGGATATTATTATAAGAAAATTAATAATAGCATAATTTATTATATAAAGTATATAGAACTAATAAAAAAAATTAAGATATTTATTATAAATTAAAAAATAACTCTTATTCTGCATTATACTATTCAATTTAAATAAAAAGCAATAAAAATAACAAACTATTCAATTGTTTAAACTACTTAATTATTCTTTAATATAAATAAAAATTAATAAATAGATTAAAGTAAAATTATCAGTTAAACTAGCTTAATGAGATTTAGCAAAACTTTCTAAATATAAAAGTTTTATAAACTATTAGCAATAATTTAATTGTTAATATAAAAGCAAAATTAAAAAAAAAATATAGTAAATATTATTTTGCTTTCATTACCTTTTAATAAATAAAAATACCTTTTTTTAAAACAAATTGGGTATTATTATTTAATCCTTATCATATGATTTAATAAAAATTTTTAATTGGCTAATTTTATAAAAAATTTATTATTTTTTTTTTTTATCTATCTTAAGATTTTTAAACTGTTACTTTTTGATAATCTTTTTTATTGCATATAGTATTTTTTTTATGTTTTAAATTAAATAACGCGACTAATGATCAGCTGTACAACATTCTTTTTTCGCTGAAATGTCTGTACGAAAAGATATAAGAATAACAATATTTCCCAATAAACCTTTTCAAAAATATACAGAAACAATTCTTAATCAGATTGAAACTTTTGAAAGAAAAAATTTTCCAAAAAATGAAGCCATGGCTATTAAAAAAGAAGTTTCTAAAAGAACCAATACATTATTGATTGCTTATTACGAACAAGATATTCTAAAAGAGCAAAATACTCAAAAATTAAAGTCAACAAGTAAACTAAATGGCAATCAAGAAAAAGGATCAAATAAACCAAATAAAGTTATAACAAAAGAAATCATTTTAGTTGGATACATAATATATTCAAATATTTCATCCACGCAGATGCCAGTAACAAGAATATTGAAATTATGTGTGCATCATTCTTTTAGAGGAATTGGATTAGGAGAAAAATTGTTAAGGAGTGTATTAGAAAGAATGGATGTACCTAAAAGAAGTAACGCTGATTTACACGTTGATGTTGAAAGGACAGTTGCAATTAATTTATATAAAAAAGTTGGGTTTAATATCATTAAAAGAATCGTAGATTACTATGAAGTTGGAAGAGATGCTTGGTTAATGGAATTTATTAATTAATAATTCACCATAAACAAATAAACAAATCTATTCAATTTTATTTATTTATTTTTACAATTAATGGAAGTTCTATTATTATTAAAACGTTATAATTTGGCTTTTGGAATAGTAGCCAACACTCCGTCTAATTTAGTAGCCAACATCATGTTACCCTTAATCTTAAGTTTACCAGCCATAAAAGCTTTTTGCCCTATGATGATTTTAAAGTTATTTTTGTAAACAGTAAAAACGATTTAAAGGAGAACTTAATTTACTTACCATTAAGCTTCCCTGAAGCCAATTCAACAAAGGTATCGTCGGTTAAATTGATGATAATATCAGGTTTAGCGGAACCTTTACCAGTTTGTACCGTTCCACCTTTTTTTAGGTCCATTGTCCAAATTTGTTCTTTTCCTTCATTATTCTTTACGTTAAACTCAAAGATTGCATTAACCTAGAATCAAAATGAACTTTTAAATTTCCTTAAAAAATAAATAGTCTAGTATTTTTTAATACCTTCTTAATGGTTTCCTTTTTCTTTGCTTCATTATCACTAATATTAACTTTAAGTTGTTCAAATATGGACGAAGATTTATATCCGTCAACTTTTACAGACATTTTAATTTATAAAAATTATTTGTAAGGAAGAGATAAATGAAAAGAAAAATATACGACTTTATAATAAAAAAAACCGATTTAAAGTTTAGATCTTGTAAGTTGATTGGATTTAACTATTTATATTTACATAATCTTGAATTAAACAATGTATGTACATCTAATTAAATTGCTCAAACTGATGAAACAAACAATTACATCACATGAAAATTTATTATCACATCACTTTATTTTGCACGCTTTTATCAAATAAAATAACGAAAAAACTTACCAAATGATTATCAATTAATTTGTATCTCAAATTATATATAATTAATTATGGTTTAAAAATAATGAACTTTACATTAGTAGTCTGGAAAAAATAAAGGATATAGAGATTTACAATACATTTATAAATTAGTATCTTTTAGATACCTTCTCGATTTCAACTTTATATGTTAATGACATATTTCATCACCATAAGAAACTTGTTCATAATTACATCGAATTTTTCTTTAGGAAAATTTTCAGGCTAGTTAATTGGACGGTTGCTTGTGTTTTAAGTGTACTTTTAAATTGTCCACAAGAAATGAATTATTAACTTTCTTGACCGGTTTAGTTTTAAGACGGAAAACTTCAGAATTTTTTAGGGAGCTTCGATTTATTTCATTAAGAGCTTCACGCGTCTTGAGAATGTTTCATAAAAGATCTTCTTCATCTAAAGTCTTCTAATAATGTCATTATTGTTCAGTTCTTTGCTTCACTTAGTATTGAATTATTAATATTCTTTTGAGAGGGCCTAGAATGGTATTGAGATCCTTCGGGTTTGATTATTTTCTTTCTTTCTTTCCTTCTTTTTACCACTAGGAAGACTTCATGTTGTTTTTATTGCTTCAAAATACGAACTTGCTAATTTTCAATGTCTGAAATGCTACCCATGTTTAATATAACATGCAAAAAGTTATGAGATCGGTAATAGAAAACTGTATTGTGCTTAGATAAACTTTTTTTTTTAATTTATTCAATACCTACTTTTGAAAAAATATATATCAAAGGGAAAAAAGAAAAGAACAGAAACAAGCAACATAACAGTAATGAAATAAAAAGAAAAAAAGATGAAACAACAAATGCCATGACCTTCACCTATTTTATAAGGAAGAATTGACATCTCGTATAGCTTGAAAAGTCCATACTCGAAACTTCATTTTTGAGTTACTATAATCAATGCACTTGAGATAAGCTAATCATCATTCTTCAGAAGGTTCATCGCTTTTCTTTTTCGAAGATCTTGCTCTATCGTTTACTTTCCTGAAACACAAAAAAAAAATAAAATAAAATAAAGAAAATATCTATCACAACATAAGCCTCAATTAAAGCAAGAAAAAATGAATTTAGAGGTCAAATCTGTCTTGATAAATCCCTATAATATAGAAAAAGCATTTGAAGTATAATTATTAATATTTAATTTCAAAAAATCAAATCTTTTAATACTCACCTCCAATTCAACGAGAATAACTTCGAGATCTTCTGGAACGACTATGCGATTTTCTTCTTCTTGAATAACTGCGACTTCGAGATTTTCTTCTATCTTTTGACCAACTACGGCTTCTAGAACGCGTAGGACTTCTTCTTCTATAACGTGGTGGTGGCGAGAATGAGGGTGTACGGCGATAAGAATAGGAATTACGGTATCGTGGTCTATCTCCCATATATTCTCCAGGAGTAGGTGTATGCGGTCTTTGAGTTAACGAATAATCGACACGCATATTTCTACCATTGACTTCCTAAGTAAATTAATAATAAAAATTACATCGGCTAAAAAAATAAATAAATAAAATTTGGTCGTATCTACATACCATGCCATTTGTTTTGTCCTTGGCTATGGTTGCCTCTTCAACTGAATTCATATAAACAAAACCAAATCCACGAGAACGATCACTCTAACGGAACGTTTTATAATTATTATGCATTATTAATGTTAGTTTAATATACATTTTGTAAAATACACATTTTATGACAAAATCATACCCGATGATCATAAACAATAGTAACATTATTAACTCTTCCATAGCGTTCAAATATATTTTGTAAATCTTTTTCTGTAGTCCTAAGACTAAGGTTGAAAACTCCTAGAACATGGCTGGGATCAGGTTCCTTCAAAATGCATATTAAAATTAGAAATAAGTATTTGACCTTTTTTAAATAAAAATCTTTGTTTTATTTATAACTTACATCTCTTCTACTCACTCTCCTCCTTCCCCGGCTTCTATCACGACTTCTATCACGGCTCCTAATAGGGCTTCTAGATATAAGAAAGTCTTAACTTAGAGAACTTTTTTTATTTATAGGTAATTAAAAACTTAGTTATTAGCATAAACACCTTCTTCTTCTCTCTCTACTTCTCGAACGACTTTTACTTGAAGAAGTTTTAGAGTACGAGCGACGCTTATGACGGCGAGAAGAACGCGATTTTCGCGGGCTACGACTGCGTGATTTGCTGCGAGAATAAGATCGGAGACGTGGCGAACGTGAACGTGGGGCTCGCGAGCGAGAATGGCCACGCTCACGACCGCGTTCACCGTTTGAGGGTAAAACGTCTTGCATGGATGTATTCTGTGACAAGATAAAGGTTCTTTTTTACAATGGCAGGATCTTCCTTTTTAAAAGGATTCATAAAATTCAAAAAATTTTTTAATAGATAATGAAAATAAACGGACACATAAAATATAAAAACTAACACTTATTGGTAGTGTAGAACTTGGTTCAAGTTAGCTTGCATGTATGTAAATAGGCGATTCCAAGGTTATAAAATCATCGTCCAAGTATTGGTGACGTCATAAACTTTCCACCAATCAATTGGATAAATTTTGTGTTACATTAAATTACCATTAATTTTTTTTAAAAAACCGCAGCACATTCGATGATTTATTAAGAATAAAAAAGTATCAAAAATTACAAATATAATAAATATAATTCAACTATACTATTAACATCCTAACATTATTAATCATCGATATTATAAAGAATACCCCACGTGTGCACTGTCGGGTGGAAATTACGCTCAGAGAGGAAACGATCTCTCTTAGAAAACGCCTCTCTTTCTACCACAGGACCTACTGCACCACGGAAAAAATATTTTTTGAATTTATCCTGTAAATCAAAGAATTAAAAGAACCCGATCGCCCCACAACTTCCCCAAACACCCAAAACCTAATAAACCTCGTGAACATCCAAACCCAAACTGTAGGATCCGTTCGCACAACATATTCAAAAACGAAACAGGCCGATAAGCTGTTTGGACGTCCGTTAATTTATTATGCTGGTAGGTGGTAAGGTTGGAAGTAGCCCCATTATATTGTAAGCACGTATTAACCGCCAAAAAATACATATCTTCTATAGGACGGACAGTGGGAAAACGCAAAGAAAGCTGTTGCGCTAAAAGTCTAAGTAGTCCCCGGCTATTAACACATACCAACATATAAGCTCTATTCAATATAATTATATAAAGAAATAATGAAAAGAAACAAAAATAGAAAAAAAGTAAAATCTATATCTATAATCCAGCTCGCATCTACATGTTCAGCAGTAGTCCTTTGGAAATATTTGTCGCGACCCTCGGTGTGGTAGAAGTAACAAAAGATGAGTATATTTCCACGAATTAGTTCTACAATCTCGGTTAAACTTAAGCCCGTGTGTTGAGTCATCAAGTTCGGCAAAAATTCTAAATGGGTTATCCGTTCCGGTTATATTCCAAAATGGAAGTTATCTTCCACATCTTGTTGTACATCTGGTAGGCAAAATTTACCTTCTTGACCCTTCTCGTATTACTTTCTTGACCCAGTCAAAATATGCATGATTATGTATGACAAAAATGTTCCTTTCTTGAACTGAAACGCGATATGTGATAAACAAAAAAGAAATATTTTATTTTTTATTTATATTTAACAAAAATAGCGTGCAATCTGTCTTTTGCGAGTTGCGAGCATGGTCAATACTTTTTTATTTCTACAATATTGATAAAATTAAAATAATTTTATTTTATTTACAAAAGATAGCCGATAAATAGATTACATTTAAGAGAAATACATTAATTAGGTAATAAATACTAGCATAAAACTAAATATTAAAATAAAAAAAAAATTAATCATTAATGATAATGAAAAATTATGAAAATAAGAAAAATAACAACACGTTAATGTTTTTTTGCAGGTCAAGAAAAGAACATCTTTGTCATACATAATCATGCATATTTTGATCTAGTTAAGAAGCAAAAGTATCGTTCTTATACGATCAGGTCCAAACATAGTCATTCCAAATCATCATCGTCTCATTTAATAAACTCAAAATTTTATATGCTCACTATTATTTTTTTTTCTACTATCCAGAATTACACAAAAAATTGAATAAAAATATCTCTGATATCACATTGTATACATACTAGAAATCATGAGCAATTGAGCATGCAAACAAATATAATTCTTGCCTATGTAGATTGAAATGGTGTTTCTATACTGATGCACGCCATTTTTTCGTTAGTCTAAACTACCCCCAACACTAACATCTGGTTTCATTTGTCTCAATCATCGATTATCCTGGGTAAAATAAAAATGGCCACTAGGCGTACTTATACACATGCAGTATCAGAAATAATAAAGTTCCGTCGAAAATTTATGTTGTTTGCCCTTCTTGATTTTAATAAGGTCCTTGGGAATCCTGGCGAAAAAATTTGTAAACCAAGATGTCATTTCATTGCAAATGCACAGCATAACCGAAAAAATATATATATACCAAAAATATCATCACCAAGGTATTGGCGTATTGCGCATTATTTTTTCCGGATGTTCGTCATCGAATATGAATTTCTCAGTGAAGGAAGGGTAAATGGCGCAGGCGCAGCGCCACAGCCACATGTCACGTGATATAATATTGGAACTGTGTCACAAACATTATACTCCATTTTTCAGTTTATGTTTTCGAGGCTAAAATTAATAATTTTATCATAACGATCAAAATATTATATAGTATTTTCATATTTGTTGACTACGTGTAATTGGTTTTTTTTCGTATAGTAAAACAATTGTAATTATAAATTTAGTAATTATATATAATATAAACAAATGTAAATAAGTCTTGAAACTCTATCAATTTGGCTAGGTCGTTCTACTTCTACTTGTGAGAGAGCGCGTGAGAAAGGATAGGGAGTATAATGTCTCCAGCGTAACCAACAAAAAAGTTCGGGCACGTGATATATAGTGTGGTGTCTAAATTTTGATTGGTTAATCATGTGTAACATTTTGAATTTTTTCGCGAAAGACTTAATAGGAATAAAATAAATTTTTTAAGTTTTAAATAGTTTTATTATATTTTTATTGATAATACTGTAAACAATACAGACTTTATAATTATTAAAGTAACATATACCTAACTAAAAATATACAAGTTTGTGCTATTTATACAAAAAACGTCAAAATATATAAAATTAATATATATAAAACTTTAAAAGTATGATAATGCGTATTAGGATTTATTTTTACTTTGTCCGACCATAAAAAAAAAAAAAAAAAAAAAAAAATACTGTATAAATACTAAAAAAAAATTTCAAAGAAACGTAAAATATTAATAATTTATTGTTTATAATATATGTGATAAAAATAATAAAAAAAGGAAAAGACAGTATTCATATAATATATTATATAATATAAGTTTCCAAGGTTTCCAAAAAATATTGACGCGAGAAAAAAATATTTATTTATATCGCATCAAAACACAGAGCAGAGCTGTGGCGCTGCGCCTGCGCCATTAACCTGGTACACATTTCAATGATCACATAGTGACACGACCCCATATATAGATGACTATATAGATCAACGGTTTTTCTCATGAGAATTTTTCATATTAATCATTTCTTTTTGAAACTGATTAATTATATTTTTTTAAGTGATCGAGTGATTAAGTGATTAATAAAAAAATTTTTAAATACTTATATGATCAATATGAGTAACTCTACTTTTCCCACTTGCAATGCCCTACCCTCGTCTCAAACAGAGATGGATGGTGAACGAAGTAAGTCTTAGAGCTTTTTTTTTGTTTACTAATTTATGAATAAAAGCTTCTTTACAAATATTATTTTTTTTTAGATTTGCAGAGAAATATTTTTAATGGCTCAAAATTGCGGAGAACTGCATCTCTACAATACGTTTTTTCTTCATTTCAGGTACTTCTCAAAGGGTTTATTTCTTATAAAAAGTCATGCATTAACGTTTATACTCTTTGATGATCTACATCAGAATCAACAACGCAATCTACTCCGTAGATCGCAATCAAATCCCGATTTCAGTGATAAGAACACTCGGGTCTATGATGATAACATTAACTACGGTGTGGGACTTTTTACTTTATCTATCTACGAAGAATTCTCTTCCAAGCAAAAGGAAGACAAGGAAGCGCAGAACGAAAAAGTTTATGAAGCCAAAGGTGTTTTTACGCAAACACCTAAACCAGATCACAAATTGGATAAACATCCTACAACCTATAAACCAGGGGGAGATGTGCCCGACATCTGTAAATGTCTCTTGGAAAGTCAATCACAAACAGATAATCGCAGTATCATTCGGAGCATCAATAGCGGGAAGACGCAATCCCAGAAAACACATGGTCAAGTCTCGGCAGAGTACCGATCTGGCCAATTTCCCTTTACATATCCTTCCACGAAATCAGGATCTGGAAGTGATGGCAAGGCGAGAGCGTTGGGACCATGCCAATTGTTCAGAAATGAACGCATGGACTCACTTGAGTCAAGTAAGGCCCAACACTCCAATTCGGACTCTCACAATAGACGTAGCAGATGGAACGGCGAAGTATCCCTGCCTAAATTGCAAGATGTCCCGTGTCACCTTCTTGATCAACTGAAGGATGAACTTCACGCCTTCACGGAACGAAAGAATCAGCGGTTTCTTAATGCGAGTTTTAGAGAACGTCTTGCTAAAACCTTTGGAATCGCTGAAATTTTTCCTTTATATCTAGACCGTTCTGAATATGTAATGTGGTTTTTAAATGAAGATAAATGTTTGCATATGTGGAATGACATGGAGAATAGTTTGATATATATGGGATCCGACTTGGAAGAAGGAGTCAAGAATTATCTAATACATCCGGATAAGTTGTGTTATGTCATCGAAGACACTCATGAGAGGGTACCCGTAAATGAAGAAGAACGTCGTTTGGATGAAGAATTCAAAAATCACATGGAGGAGATAGGGTTTGAGAAGATGCTTTTGGAGGCTAAGGCTAATATTATGGCTTCAAAAGAAGAAAAAGCAAGAAAGAAGTTGAATAAGAAGTTGAGTAAGAAGTTGAGAAAGAATAAATAATTCAATCACTTCATTGCTTAAAAAGACATTATAATTTGCAATATACAAGAAGAAGCTGATCGATTACAATATAATTCGAATATACTGTATGTCTGTATTGTTTAATAATTATTATTCAGGAAACACATGATAAATATGCAATATTGTAATCTTAATTATTAAAACCTTTTAGAATTGTATAATTTAGAATTAAAAAAGCATAAATAAAACTGCAATCTGCAATCTTTTACATCACAAAAACTTTATTTTTGTAAAATGATAAACGAATGATTATTTGATTCGTACAAGTACAACCTTACCACTAAATACCACATGACTTGATCATTTGTGTAATTATAATTCAAAGAAATGACCAATCGCCAATCAATTTTAATAAAAAATAATTTTTTTTTTTATAAAGAAACAACGTCTGAAAGACTTGTAAAACATAAATCTAAAATGGCAGAAGATCCTGTAATAATCAACGAAGAGCTTGTTGAAGAAGTGTTAGAAAAGGTGTAATAGATATTTGTAGTCATTAGTGTCGGCAAATACCGATATTTCCAATTATAGCATTTATCCTTGATATATTTGTTTATATATATACTAAAATAGGACAAAAAACGTTTATTAATACTAAAATTAGTATTTATTTTCGTTATCATTGATATATTTTTGTACTATTAATTTATGTTGTTTTAATAGTGGCCTGTTCAAAATATTGCTAAATTTGGAAAGAATTTAACATCTTCTTATTACTTAGAATTTCAGGAATATCCTAATACGTCCGAGACTGGTTTTGCGAACATTTATAATGTATCAGGATGGAATGAAGATGAAGCGTGAAAAGTATTTGCGTTAACCAATATCCAATACTCATATGGAAGAAACAGAACAATTCGCACAGTAAAAAATTGAGACTTTTTTCCAAATGTCGCAGTAATTAAAGAACAACGTAGCTTAAAAGTATGTCAATATGCATCTAAAGAATTAGATATTGGCCACACATCTGTAGATCTCTTTTTGAAAATATGTTTAATGCAAATGAAGAGTTTCACAAAAAAAACTACACATAGGCCGTTCTCAAGCGCCTCCCTCAATGTGATTGGCCAGTGATTGAAGTGATGCTCAAGTATCACGGTCAATTGAAATAAATTGGAATAAACATGGTGATCGACACTTGAACAATCTCTTACTTTTTTTATTGAGTTTTATTATGCATCCAAAAAGAGAACTAAAACAACTTTTAAAAATTTTGTTCCAACCACTCATTTCTCTCCTTTTAACAACATAATGAATAATTTATCCTTACAACAACATCAAAATTCCACTACACGACCTTTTGCTGAAAATGAAACAATAAATCATATAGATCCTTTGACGCCAAATGAAATAAGATATCCAGTATATATGGACCCTTTAAATGATACAACAAGATATCCGGTAAATATTTATTCTTTTATAATTATACTATATGAAAGATAATAAACTTGAAATTCTTTTTATAGATAACCTTGCAACCTTCTCAACCTTCTCTTATTACTCATCATGTAACTCATAATCAAGAAAATCAATCACCTTTTAATTCTGTAGCCATAAATAATCAAAGTCCTATCCAATCAACTTCTACATTTATTAACTTCAATCAACAAACAGATGGACAACATCAGAAACTCGAATGCTTATTGAAGAAGTTAGAATGCAATGGCAAGCATTGCAACAAGTCAAAGATCCAAGAGAAAAGGGCCGAATCTGGGATAAATTATTACTAACATCCAAAAGTCAGATATGGCAAATCCAACTTTAAAGGAACGTACAAAGACATCAGTTCAACAGAAGTGGGATGCACTTCTCCAAAAATTCCAATAAAATTGAAAGCACTGGTGGCGAAGCTATTCAAAATGACTGGGAGTTTTTTAAGGATATGGATAGCTTTTTAAGAAAAGATCTGAGTATAGTTGCACCAATTACAAGTGACTCAATTTATGGGATTAAGCGTAAAGAACAAGAGAATGCTGAAGAACAAGTCAAAGAGGTCAATGACGTTTTAATATTTATTTTTTTATTTTTTTTCTAATATCTAATCAAACCATTATTCATATCATATAGAATGACTTTAGACAACAAAAAAAAGCACGTTCTGAAGAAAAAAAAACAAATATAGAAGAGATTCGAACTCTTATTAAAGAACAGACTGATACTATCGCTGAAATTATGAAAGAACAATATATTCATGCTTCTGAAGTTCAGCAAAAGCAGCATAATGAACAAATGGAACTATTTAAAATGTTTCTAATGAAATTTTAATTATGAGCAGTTAATAATGTATATGCAAATAATTTTATTGTAATTAATGAAGCTTTGTAAGGTTTAATAATGATTAATTAATTATAAGATCTGCTAAATATTCTCTCTTCTGAGTACCCGCCATCTCTTCGATTTCTTCATTTTCTGCTTCATACTCATTATTACTATTTATATCATCATCCATTTCTCTATTAACATTTTCTGAAGATAATAAATCTCCCATATCAATACAAATATTATGTAAAATACAGCATGCATGTATTATTTTAACAATCCGTTCTATATTTGTACAATAAATTTCTTTCAATAAAATTCTCCATCGTTCCTTTAAATGTCCAAATGCCTGCTCAACAACCATTCGCATTAAAGAAAGATTAAAGAACTTTATTAAAGTGACGTTCTTGAGCAGATAGCATATAATAATTAGGAAATGCTTTCATTAAATATGTACGGAGAGGATATGCTGCATCTGCAATAATGTAAAAACCACCTGGAACTCATTGTTCGGGATGCAACAAAATTTCATGATAAAGTGAAGAACGATAAAACACTCTGGCATCATGTACACTTTTTATGATAATAGTAAATAATAATAAATTAATTATTAAAATAAATAAAAATAAATAAATAAATAATAATAAATGTCTACTAACCTGCTTCACCAGCATGTATATAAGTAAAGCGTCCCTGATGATCAACAACTCCAAGAAGGTTGATAGAGTGAAAACTTTTGCGATTAACATAACAGGCACCATTCTCAGAAGGTTCATGAATAGGTATATGTACTCTATCCATTGCACCAATAACATTAGGCAGTTTGCGATGCCCTAGACCAGTTTCCTCATATTCAAATTCTTGAGGGGCAGAAATCAGGATATTTGGTTTATGGGTTAGGTAAAAGTATAAATAAGGAAATTAGAGTAAAAATTGGCAAAATTAATAAAATTTATAAAATTAAAAATTTACATAATCGTAAAATCATGTGATAGGATATATATAAATATGATTTTCACGGATATTACTATTGCTAAATGTGATTCTCATGGCCATGCAATTCGTCCTTATTCTAAATCTAATAGTGCTTCTAAAAATCGATCAGTAAAATTACTTACAGATCCTTAATTTATTCCAAGTGTTTATTCTAACACTCTTATTCCAAATCCATTTGCTAATTGCCATAATACAATGGCAATTTGTTTCCATACAGGTGTTGCATTAGAGACATCTAAAGTAAAAGCTTGGTGGGTTTCTAATTGAGTTACAATAGCACAAAAAGTAGTAAGAGTTATACGAAAGTAATGCTTAAAAGAATTATAACCTTCTCCATCTACTAAGTATGGGAAAACATCTGTCCAGAACCCTTTAGTTTTAGGTCTTGGCTGATGTTGCAATCTTATACTGGATGGAAAATAAACTGTTGATAAAATTATATTTGTTATGGTAAGGACAGTTAAAAGATGATCAGATCTTTGCATTTGTATATTTTTATTTTTTATAATAGCTTCTAATATAAAAAGTAATATAATTATTGATTTTTGTCGGTACTGAAGATCCATAGTGTAAAATGGAAAGTGAAGGAAGTAAGGCGCATGAGCAACCTCTTTTTATATTCCATTATTTTCTATTTTTGGTAGCTCTATGAAAAAAAAGATGGTTTATAGCTCCAGGTTTTTTTAACTTAAATGATCTTCACACTTTGCCTTTTTAGTCAATGATTAACTTATTGAGGGAGACACTTGAGAACGGCCATAATAAAGTTTAGTGCATGAATATAAATGGTAACCATTTAACAAAAATGGAAAATGATGTAACATTAAACCAATTTTAGGAGAACTCATACAGGTTCTTATTTTTATATTTATTTTTTTATATTTTTTTTTTTATATTTATTTTTATTGATTCTTTTGTTAATTTACTATTTACAGGTAATGGGTTGATATTATCAAAGAAGAAGTTTATTGAATGCGAAAATTGGAAAGCTGGAGACAAAAATCATCAGTTTTTGACAATTCCAAATAATATTGATTTAGAATTGTTAGAAACTATATTTAATGAAAATTCTTATCATTCTCATAATAATGATTTTGAAGTAAATTTTAATTTTTCTAAATATAAATTTAAAACAGAATAATTGATATAATATTTAAATTATAAAATGATAAAAACAATACAATAGATAAATGTTTTATTGTACAACCTAATAATGTACAATCTGATGAGTGCAATTAATAATACTTTAAAAATTTAACTATTAATTAATAATTATATTTAAAGCATTTTTGCATAAGTGTGAAAATGCTATTATTAAAGAAGTTATAAATAAGAAATCAAACCCATGCCCTGCTATTAAATTTTATTATATAATTCCAGTTAATTTAAAGGAATGCCATTTATTACAATTGTTTCAGTAGGTTAATATGTAAATGCCATATAATATTAAAGCACAACTTCAAAGAATAATTAATAATAAATATACAGTCAACTCTTTATAAATACACCTCCCTTGGAACCAGGTATAAGAGTGCATTTAAAAAGGGTGTGCATTTATAAAATACATATAAATCTATATGATATTAATTTAAAATTAAAATTAATTTATATATAATAAATATAATTATATATATAAAATATTTGCAAAAACATTTTATAATGTAAAATATGCTTAAAATTATTTATCTGTTAAAGATATTATAGAAATTTTTGAAAATAAAAAGTTTTTCTACTATCAAATTCAGAATGTAAACTACATATTTTTAAAAATTTTTAAAATTAGACACAACTGAAATGTAAACTACATATACTATTTCATTAAATTATATGATTTATATACTTATACAGGAGGAATTTTATATATTTATTATAATACAGAATTGACAATTGGTATTAAAGGATACCCTAGTCCCCTGCTATAAGCATTACTTCACAATATATTAACTACCCCTTAAAAGATATAGTAGAGTATAAAAATTACATTTCTAGTTTAGTTTAATATAATTAAATAATATATAAATAAAATACAATTTCCACATTTCATAATATTAAACAATCAAAATATAAGTTAATTTCCACATTTCTTATTTCTTTTCATGTTAATATCATCATTATTATGACTACATCTCAAAAGGTACACTCATTTCTATATTTATATTCAAATATATTAATAAAATAAATATTTTCTTACCTAAATTCATGATTTATTGATCAATTTTCAGAAATATATATAATTTGAAGTAAAATAAAATAAAATTGTCATATTAATTAAAAATATGATAATTTGTTTTTAATTAATTCATGTTTTTATTCATAAAAATAAAATTCAATAATTTTTAGATAAAATAATATTTAAGTATTAACTATTAAATTAAAATTCTGGATTTTCCTTTTTCTTTTATAAAGAATTCAGAGAATTCTTCTATTTTTCTAAATTATTATTACATGACTTACTAAAAGTTCACTCTTAAACTTAATTATGAACTCTTCTATATATCTAAAATACTAGGATACTTATTACTTTTTACTAATTAATTTTCTATCAAATTTTGTATACTACAGTGTGATTATACTTATAATTAATAAAGTGATTATAGAAGACATATTTTATATATAAAAAAATTGGAACTAAAAAATGTATACCTTCAGTTAAAAAGAAGAGTTCTTATATAGGAAATGCCTATAAAGGGGTTAACTTTATTAGATGCTAAGATATACATAAAAAATAACTTTTTAAATTATTAAAAAATAGGATTTATAACTTATTTTAAAGATGTCTGGAATTTTGCTAAAGATTGTTTCATTTAATTACAAATTAAATATATATAAAAATTAATATGTAAAATGTTTTACTGATTATTAGTAAATTTAATAAAAATTCTTTTCATTTCTTACAAATTGCAAATTAACTATTTTTAATAATAATTTGCAAAATATTTTTTATAACTTTATGGCAACCTATTAGAATTCCAAACATTTAATATATAAGTTATAATGGACTTCTAACCAATCATCATTTTTTGCTAAAACTCTAAAAGTTGTTTTTTGCAAATTTCTTGGCATCTGGTAGTCCAATTTTGATAAATTTTTTTTTAATTGTAAAGTTTAATGAGAGTTATAAAATAAAAAAGTTTATTGAAATTGGATTATTAAATGCTGAAAAATTGCATAAATCTAATTTTTAACTTTTTAAAAGAAGTGTAATTATGATTTGTTTTAAAGATATCTAAGATTCTAACCTATTTTCCTATTTTTAGAGTTTTGGGATTCTAACAAGAGTCATAATATAATATTACAGTGACCTCTATAAGTAGGTAGGTCCCAATACCCTTATACATAATATCCTCCTTTTTTCTGAAAACAATCTCCATTTTCTTATTTAAACATTCTAATTTTATATGTAAATAATTTTTTAAATATACTACAAGTTTTTAAAATCCTTGTAAAAAATTTCGTACACCGGGTATAGCATCAACCAATCCGGAGTACTGTAGGGTAAAATTTATAATTCCATAATTTTTCTGGTCATGGATGCAGCAGATTTCTGGAATATAATAGATGAAAATTAATTTCCAGACCGGATTTTTCAAGTTTTTTTCCATGCTGGTTTTATGTGCTTGGATAAAACTTTCCGTATGAAATTCTTGTTTATTCTCTTGAATATCAAATTAACTGAATTGTCAATTGTTCTAAAAATCTTCAGTCATTATTATTAACGGATTATCAAACAAGTTATTGTCTATTCTCTCTATTGTCTTTATAACCTCCCATATAAGTCAATTACAAGTATATGCTAAATTGGGTTTTGGGTAGCTAGGATTCTTTTCCTAGATAAAAAATAGGAATTTAAAAATAATGGTTTTGGACGTCACGAAATGTGCTCAGATTTTGTAGCACAGATGATTTATCTCGCGTAAATATAAAATTAAGTCGCCGTATTTTATAGTAAGATGCACTATGTTGGTCATTTTTATAAAATTTGTTTGCTTATGATATGCACATCGAGCAGTTTATTCAAAACTTCTATAAATAGATGTCTAAATTATAAACGATAGAATTATGAATACTTATGATTACATTAATACGTTAAATCTATATACAATTAGTTTCTAAGTATATCGAGTAAAGTCAATAACGGGTTCCAATCCCATAATATCAATGTGATTATCATATGTTATATTATTACTTCCAGTACTTGCTGAAAGAATTCGTTCCTTTACACGTTTAATTTGTCTTAAACGATCTTTCCAATTCGATACATATTCTGTGTTTCTATTACCTCCGCTTTGTAAAAACACTTGAGCAAATATGTTTGCGTGTAATGCTATTTGGCGAACAAATGCTGGTAAAGCTGATGCTGACACCATTTTAAATTCTATTGGCCCAATTTCTGGCATATCTGAGCGACGCTGCATTGTAACTTTGAAATATGAATTCTTATTATAATTTTTATTAGTATCATCTGTTCTTGATGATTGTAAAGTTGAAATGGAGGATTGTGAAGAGTATTGATGAGAATAAGGAGAGATCACAATATTGATAAAATTAAAATGACTTGGTAATGTATCAAATTCATATTCTTGATCCGAATCATTAAATACTATTGTAACAAAATCATTACCAATGTGTCGTTTCTTTCCAGCACATTGAGGATCGTGTGCCAAATTCGTTGGCATTAAAGTAGCACAATGAAAAATTACTTGCGTAATATCATCTTTCCAATAATAAGTATACTCTCCATCTGTATCATACTCCGTATCCAGACCTCCTGTATATATTTTTTTACAATTTTTTAATCGAACCAAGCTCCCCAGTTTATTCAGGAATTCTATGTAATCTTGTGATCCATGAATATTAGAAAGAATTTCGATTTCTTTAGTCTGATTCTTTCCAACATATAATACACCAATTTTGTGAAAATCTACAACTGGTGTATGATCTAATACTGTTAACGCACGATTTGTTGATTCATCATCTGGTAAAGGTCGAGGAGCATCCTTAGAAATAAAATCAGGATAAGGAGAAAATTGTAAAAATAAAAAACTGGGATCAATATGAGGATCATCCTTGCGATATATGTTCTTATCAGCAATCAAACTAGCAGGATCTGTAAATACTTCATTAACAACATGTTGCTCTTTTTCCGAAAAATTTGACATATTTGTATGATCCTTTAAATTATTATCCTGGTTTTCGCTATAGATATTCTCGGGATTCGGTGAGAGTTCTGTTTGCGAAGTAGAAATTCCAATATCTTTTTCTAAAGTTTCAGTATAAGAACTGATCTCTAAATTTAAATGTGAAGAGGCAAGATGTGCTGAAATATCCACTGGTAAATTATCCGATTCAATAACAATAGAATTTTCATTCTTTTCAGTTTCTTGCGGTTCTATAAGAAGATTTGTGTTTTCGATAATTGTACGATTATTCGTTTTTCCTTGTATAGAATCATTAACAGTAACGTCCGACTGTTTAGATTTAAAGTCAATTGCGCTTTGAGGAAGGTTAATAATATATTGGAAATCAGGATTATAATGGGAGATTAAAGTTGCAGGTAAAGTTATGAAATCTGTATCTTCCATTTTGTTTCGATTTTCAACTTTACATAAAAAGGATGCAGTACCGGATGGTCGACGAATTATAATTTCTGCCCATCCAAACGACTTCATTGTACGCATAGTTAGTAATGCGTTTCCTTGAACCCAGGTACGTGAAATGACTTTATCCTTTCCTTGTTCTAATAAAATTTGGTTAATAAAAGATTTTTCTGGTTTGGGATCACAATTAGCAAATGAGTAACGTGCAAGCATGTCGAAACACGTTTCAGTCTGTTCATCTACTTTTGAATTTGATCCATTTGCAAATAATAAACCGTGAACAATGAAAGTCACATACTTTCGACGTTCTGGAAGCCTTAATAACATAAACCAAAGATAAATCACATGATATGCCATTACTCTTTCATATTGTGATAAAGCATTGGTACTTTGTGAAATATTTACACCCGAATTTGATGAAGTATTTGGTTGTGATGTAGTACTATTATTACTGTTTGGAGCTGAAGCTGATGAGACCGTCTGGCTTTGGCTGTATTGTATATATTGCATAGCGATACCAAATACACGCTTGTAATCAGCCTCTGTAAAATTTACATATAAATTTGGAAGTCTTGCTAACCCAGAAAGAAATTCAAGAATATGTACACTCATTGACGCTGTTGTTATAATCTGCGATAACTTATTAAGAGTATCCGGAAGAAGTTTTGTAGATGAAAGTGGTAATTCGAATAAGCATATATTGAGTGCATGAATACAAGGTTTTGCAGTATGTGCCCATTTCTGTAAACCAACATGAAAAGCCAAAATTAATTCATCTCGCTGTGCTTTATTAAATAGGTCATTATAATTTATGAGAATAGTTAAAGTTTGATAAACTATAACATGAACATCTACTCTCTTGATATCAGATGGTAATGACACGCCTTCCGCCAACCGATTATTCAATACCCAATCGCATAAACAATTTCTTAATGTACGGATTTGTTCAAAGGATGAACAAAATAAATGCTTATTGCTTAATTGTATTGGAAGAAAACACAAGACGTAAGAATAAATCTCCCAATCCTTATCTCTGGTAAGGATATCAATTAAACATTGCAAATATAAATCAATTGGTAAGACAATCGTTTCTCGTTGCAGTTTAGTGCCTTTGCTAGTTGAATCCGATTTAAACCTGTAATTGTCTTGAAGAACATCCTGAATAGCATTAACTTTATTACAAAGTACATACGGACTTGGACGTAAAGCTGAGATCTTAATACGTAAAATTTCGGGGATTTGCCAAAGACGTTCGCATGACGTGACCATTTCTTCCTCGGGAATGTTGTTATTATCTACCTGGGGTTGAGTCGATTTATTGTTATCTCTTCGATCAAGAAGTATTGAAGCCACATCTTTCAAGCTAGCTCTTCGCTCAACCTTTCTTTTAAGACTAGTCTTACGCTCAACTCCTGAACTCGTAGAACCAATACTGGTAACCGATTTTTCTGAGATTGTAGAAGTAGAAGGATAATTATACTCATTGATTGATTTATCCCGATGTAAAACATATGCTCCGCTCACAACGTCCATGTCCTCTGTATAATATATCCTGTAATCATTATCAGCTCTCATACGAACAAGCAGCTGTAACAAAGCAAGACGACAAGTTACAGGAGTTGAAAAATCACAAAGGAGATTTATCATTTCTTTGAAGATTTTAATACTTTGCTCTGGTGAATCTGCTTTGTATAGACAATGCTGAAATATGTTGACAAGACCATTAATTGAAATTGAACTTTTGCATTTCGTAGAATGAGATGAACGTCGTGTGATATCAGGTTGATTTAATTGACAAACACAAGGAGTACACTGTAATAGGATTTTAAGTAAAGGTGTAAACCACCGATCTGGTAGTTCCTTTAGAATAGATATTAAAAATTCCATAAAATTATCTATAACTTCGGGGTCATCATCTTCAGGAAAATCAGTAAACATCGGTAAAATAACCGCCTCAAGAAGTTTATCCTGATAAAAATCCTTTGTAATTTCATAGATTTCAATAGTCATAGAGAGGACTCGTTGGCGAATTTTCGAAGGAACTTTGGCGATGTAAAATGTGTTTACCACATCAACTAATAATACAAGCCAATCCGGAGAGGATGGATAAAGAGAATGTTCTAAATCATAATAATCAAGTAACATTAAAATGGTACTTTCTGACACATAATCCCTTAGTGACTGAATGAGATTAATAAATCGTAAAATTGGACCTTCAAAAGAGGACGACATGTGAAGAGACTGTATCTGAAATATGATTTTACTATAAGCACTAACCACTGTTGTTAACTCATTATCATCAACTGAATTAATTTTTATAATATCATCACTCATTATTGTATTTCTTCTTGCTAAAGATCCATTATTTAACACATAATGCTTAGTATTATCTAAAATGTCCATAATGATTTCCCATTCCAATGGTTTAATGTCTTTTTCATATCTTGAGATAAGATAACTAATTTGCATTAAAATTTCACCATGTATATTGACATCACAGTAGTTCTTTATTGCATGTCTCATCGCAGAAAGTACAGTAGAATAAGTATGCGAAAGAGAATCAACCTCTTCCGGTCCCCATATCGCCCATGCTAAAAATAGAACTGAGCCCCGTAAGACCCGTGAAGAAGTTAAAGGCTCTACACTTTCCAAATTACTAAATAGAATTTTGATTGCACTGTATGCACAATGACTTTTTAAAAGATTTCGCATAATATGCCAGCTCGTTTGTGAAATTGAGCCTTCTTGATTAAGTTTATCGCATAATACATCAACATATGATTTTAACGAAGATGATGGAACATAACCAAAGCGCACCACCACATCCCAAAATCTCAGACAACATTCAATATCTGAAACATCTTTAGATTTCTTGCATGCAATTGATATATCCTCAATAAGCCGAGAAATATCAGGTTCCTCAAATTGAGCAAAATTAAATTTAATTACATTAATTAATAAATTAACAACTGATTGTAACCTTGTGGGTTCTGAGTTTTTTTGTTGTATAGTTGTATCAGAATCCGATGCTTCTGTTATCGTAGCAGAAGTTGATGACCTGTTTGATGATGTTAACGTTGGAAAAGAAGTATTTGATTCATCCTGTTGCGAAGAAGTTGTGGAAGATGATGATGATGGAGGTACAGATTTTGCATGTTCCTTTTGATGATCACTTGTTAATTGAACATCTAATTGTTGAACTGTCTCATTAACCCATTCTGAAAGTAATTTTACTAAATTTTTCTCGAAAGGAGAGATATCTCTACCATCTTTACAAAGTTCTTTTAAAGCCAATAACCTAATCTCGAAATCTTCTTTGACATTATGAGATTTGATACAATCATAAAATATTACTCGAAGGAATCCTAAATTATCACTATGTTGACCTTTAATACAAGCTATCATGAATTGGAAAGCAACATTTCTCGCATCAAATGGCATATCAGGGGAAAGTAGATCTAGGTCTCTAACACAAACCCAGACTTCAGTCATGTCTGAAAAAGTATATTGTGTCACTATGTTACATAATTCTCTGATAAGTTTAATGAGCGTGTGTAAAGGATATGGTTTTTGTAGTTCTTGTACAAGAAGCTTAGTGTCTATAGGTCTTCCCTTAGGGTTATTGGAAGGTGGTATCTGTTGTTTTTGATAACTTTTACCATTTATCTCATTGGATTCCACGTTAAGAGAAGTTAAACCTAAAGTGTCTACAAGGGAAATGTCTGTTCGTGAACGTCCAAATACTTCACGTAAAGAAAAAGCACGTTTAGGAGGAGATTTTGTTTCATGTGCATGTGCCATAGTTAAGAAAGCCTTACTAAAACTAAACAGCAATAGTTTTATCACTAAAGTAATTCACGTGACTTAATCAAGCAAAAAAAAAATATCAGATATCTGATATGGCAGATATGGCACTTATTTTATTTTATTTATATACAAAAATGTTTAACTATCTAATGTTCTAGGATTACTATTTTTTTCCTTTCAGTTTATTATCTACTTTTATACTTTTTTACAAATATTACAATTGAACCCACAAATATATACATTTTTTTTTATTCGATATGATTATTGTTGCGATATGTAAATTAATTACTGACTTGTTTAATAATAATAATCTTTACTTGCTTTAAATTCAACCTCTATATAATATAGAATAATAATAATAATAATAATAATGGTTTTATGTAATAGTTTGTGAAAGAAATACTATTATGCATTAAATCTCTGCATTAACCCCGGACCTTTTTTTTATTAAGCTTTCTAAGGCGTCGCTGCTGTTCCGCGCGTTCTTCATCATCATCTTCTTTCTTCGCAAGACGGGAGCTGCGTGCTTCTTCACGAAGAACCTCATATCCAGACACCTCCATTGCGTCGTCATCATGATCGTCTATCATCCCATATATTGGTCGTCTTCCAGGACGAACTATTGAATGGATAATCGAGGACAGATTCCGGTTAACTGTTGCTTCATCCAATCTACAAATATCGAGTTCATTACTCCCAACATTTCTTCTTTTTTGTGCTCGAGAAGAAGGTGAAACTTCTGAACGTTCATCAAATGTTCTTTTCTTAAGTGAAGTTGATTTTGTAGCCTCACTTCTATTTGTCATTGTTTTCTTTGAAGCATTACTATTTTTGGAACGCAAGTCTTCCATTCGATTATGTCGATGTTGAACTTCCGCTTTGGAGACTCTGCGTGCCCGCTCCCTTTCTATTTCTTGACGCCTCTTTGTTTCTGCTACACTTTCATGATGACGTTTTTGCTCTGCAAGTTTTCCTCCCAGTTTTTCACTTTTTTTTTCTATTTCCAATGTTTGTTGGCGTTTGCGTTTCCTTTCTTCTTCCAATTTTTCTTGGCGATTGAATTCCCATGTTCCTTTAAGTTTTCTTTTCCTTTCCATTTCTTTATGTTGCAAAAATTTTTGAAATTGTTCTAACCCTTTTTTCAAATAATGAGGGTCTGCGATAACATCTAACGAGGTTATTTTTTTATTAATAATATTTTTTTCATTAAGAAAAGCTATATGTGCACGAATTTTCTGATCTGTTTTCGGGCCTTCCTCATTCCTAGCAGCAGCGATTTCTAATCGGGTGTAAGTTTTGCCATAATTATTAAATTTTTCAATTCTCTTTTGAGCTAGTTTCTTATTACCGTTTGGTTTTTCCATATCTTGCTTTAAAAGCTTTCGAAGCCTTTCCAATTCAAATTCTTTCGCAATTTTTTCTATAGTGATCATCCTATTTTTATCATTTAAAATTTCTGGTGGTAAAAATAATTCCAAAGGCTTATATTTCTCATCCCTTTCTCGATATGATTTCCATCGCTCAACATATTTTTCAAATTTTAGTACTGATTTGTTTGCACTCGTGCTTGATGGAACTTTGTTTCCTGTCACATCTTTATTAACACTAGTTTGTCTGCCTTTGTTATTAAGCAAAATACCTTTAGTAACTTTTGAAGTTGATGTCGAGGATATTAAATTTTCTTGACGAATGGCGGCAGATTTCTCTTTGTTAGGTCCATAGTTAATTTTAGATGTTAATCCGGAAGGTTTTGATTTTTCTTTCTGTTTTTCTTTGTTAATAGTCAAAATTTCACTGGTACTTTTTAAAGTCGTTGTAGTATTTGGCTTTGTTTTCTTAACAGAAACTTTCTTGTCCTCGCTACTTACCATATTACCATTTTTAGAAGTCGACACATTAGTTTCTATTCTTTTATGATTTACTACAGCGGTTTTGTCATTTTTGACGGAAACATTGCCGCTAGGACTTGATGTTGTTGTAATTGTTGACTTGACTTGTTTTGAAGTAGCTGTCTTCTTATTACTCATAGAAGTTGTTGCGGTTCTTGTAGGATCTAGAATTTTTGATGGCAATGTTCCATTTTATAGTTAAATTTGCTGATTAAAAAATAAAATAAAGAAATAAAAAATAAATTATATATAAAATTTTACCTGAAGCTAACTCCAACTCCATACGTTGACGAACCTTCTTTTCTAAATTTTCGATGGCAGTCACGTCACCAACAGCCTTAAGTCTCTTCATTTCACGGTATTCTTCCATATTAAGTTTAAGTGTTGGTTCCTTTAAAGGGACTTTAGATGAGGAAGTTTTGTTATCTAGATTGGACACTGAAGTTTTATTGTTGACTGTATCGGTTTGTGATGACATTTTGTAGGGTGTAGGTTTACAAGTAAAAAAAAAAAGGTATGTGGTATATAAATTGTGGGTATAAAAAGAAAGTCTTCTAAATTTTTTTCGATTTTGCAAGTTACTGCGGTGATCAGATATATATATATATTTTTTTAAAGAGATTAAAGAAGTAAAAAAAATGACGAAGTCTTATAAAAATTTTCTCTTTTTTTTTTCCAGATTCTAAAAATGTTAAATGAAATTAATTTCATTTTCCATTGTAAAACCAAAACCAGTTTGAATGTAAATTTGCAAACGTCACTGCCGCAGTTTTGAGTCATTACGTGCATCACTGTATGTTGTTTGTTCAATATCTTTCTTAATATGTGAACTCATTGCTCATTAAGGTAAAAAATGTGATTTTAATCACAAGCATTCTTTATTGGTAATTTATAATGAGGGAAAATGATCTTTTGATTTTTTTAATTTTTTTGGAAAATAAATTAGTGGGGCAAAAAAACTTAAAGATCTACCGGAAAGAAAAGGAATTTAATGAAAATTATGTGGGGTAATAAAAAAATGAAATACATGAGGATATGTTTCATATTATAATTCTCTTTTTATTCATTAGGCGCGAATTTTACTTGAATTAGTTCATATGATAATTTAGATTTTGGAAGTTACATCGTCGATTTATATATATTATACTCATAATCGTTATTAGGGATAGCGTGAACTCAGGTCCAAATCATTATAATTCTGATTATATAATATTACAGCTTGCTAAATCTTCGTGTGTGAAACAATGACAATGCGTCTAATAAATTTATCGATCGCTTGACACGTAATTTTATCAGTTTCGTTTATCAACTACATATCGGAATAATTAGGAGCTTGTGTTCAATTAATTCGCTTTATCTTTTATAACATCAATTTTACAATTTTACGCGATAAATACTAAAATTTATTTTCCTTCTTTTTTGATAATGATCATCATTTTTTGGGTGAAATAGCTCTAATATTTATTATTGTATTTTTATTGTAGCTATCGTTTATATTGAACAACGACATCACATTCACTTCATGAGATCTGTAAGATCTTCAGGGGTAACGCCGTACGCGCTATATAAATATATATACTGTATATAATATATAAACAAAAAAAAAAAAAACTCGTTAACTCGTATTTATCACACAATCTCACAATCTTACAATACAATAATCACATAAACTTTATTTACGAGATAAGGATCACGTTTTTTGAAATCTACAAAATTTCGGTACAGTATACTGTATATTTTATTCAGATATATATATATATATATATATTTGTTTCATGTGTTATTGCTTCCGAATTTGTCGCTGAGCCATCCCTTCACGCGTGAATTCTAAAGTTTTATTATTGATCACGTGTTCTCCTTTCGAATATTCGGATTTCGGATATTCAACAAATGTTTATTACACGTATATTTCACCATTGAAAAAACATATCATCAAACTAGTTTAATTCCTGGATTTGTCAGATATTACGATAACAAATCTACATGCAAGGGTTTTTTTATCAATTCATCCAATAATCAAATACCAATCAAAATGAAGACGCTGATTCTTAAAAGGCTAGACTAAAAATGTAATTATATTGCATATATGCGCATTATTCTTTACGCACGTGGTGTAAATAAAACGGCGCGTTGACGCATTATAAATATTGAACCTAGTCACTTGATAGAAGAAAGTTTTTGTTTGTCATTCTTGCTCTTTGGTCAGTTATAATACTTACTGATTTCTCGAAATGAACAAATTCGTGATTTAAAAATATCCTATTTTAGTTTTCATAAATTCTTATTTGCTTAAAACACAATATATCTATGAGAATTAAATAATGCAGGAATTCTCAAAATTAAAAAAAAAAAAATAAAAGCCTCGAGCGAAAATGAAAATTTGTGGCTTGTTCTGTGCAATGTTACCTCACGATTTCAATCTCAAATTTTTTCTCATGTGAACTTTACAGTTTACTATGGGATTATTATTTTTAATTATCTCCGTTCGTCATATGAGTAAAGAACCAACATGCATCTCAAATTATCTCAATTGATCATTTGACAAACAATAGTTTTAAACCTATTATTATCACTATGTGATGTTGTACCATAATCTGTAATCTGCGTATCTGTTTTTAAACGTCCGTCGTCATAATGCAAGTTGCGAAAAAATTAGATTCTTAAAACATTGCATTATATTCATAAATTATATTGATAAAATACTGGTCAGCTGGTAAGGAGCATATAAACTCAGTAATTATAATAATAAAAAAAAAAAATTTTTTTACAATATATTTATTATTTTTTTTTTTCCGACCCCTATCTTTGGAAAAAGTTTTATCATCGCTATCGTTATCACATTTTATAACTACCTCATTTAGCCCCCCTTTTCTTTTTTTGGTTTCTCTTTTTTTAATTAAATTTTTTTTTTTTTAAACCTTACCTCTGTCTGCGTGTACTTTTTTTTTTAATTTTTTTTATCTCGGCCACCATCCTTCCTTTACTCTTCTTTTTAACGTTACCTTTATTTTGAGTCTGTGTAAAACGATACCGATAAATAGTTATTGTTTCTAAGAGAAAAATTATTTAATAATATAATGTCCGACATTTGTAATTCAATATCGTCTGACGGAATAGCGTATATACAGTGGATACATACAATTTTTGGTTCTTGCATATATAACAGCCAGGAAGCAGTTAGTGTTTTTTTGGGTAGTTATTAGATTTATTTGTGATATGTTTCGTACGATATTCGGTTTCTAAATATTTTTTTTTACTTACATATTTTTACAGGATATTTAACTCTAGCATGTTGGCTGAACGCTCAACTTCCGTACGTTTCACTGTTTTTTTTTATTTAATTCGAATCGATCTATGGATTAAACTAATTGTTTGCCTTTTCCTCCAGACAAATTATAACAAATTATAAAAATAAATCGGTAGAAGGACTTAGTTTACCGTTTCTTGTAAATTGGCTACTAGGTGATATTACCAATTTATTGGGAGGGATATTGACAAAGCAATTAAAATTTCAAGTAAACAAAATTTATATTTTATTATTGTAATTACATGTACGTATATACACATACATATATTAATTCCTCTTTTCATAGATATATCTCGCCGCATATTTTTGTACCGTAGATCTTTTTCTATTTTTTCAATATTTTTATTATACATGGTTCCGAATTTCAACAATAATAACTGAATCTGGTGAGGATATACCGGTTAGACCTCTATCTATTCAGTCGTTTAAAGACTCTATACTAGAAGGTGCAAAAAAGAGTTACACTTTTCCTACAAGAAAGAATCATTCCCATCAACGACTGTAAGAGCTTTTTGAATATATATTTTATTACTTTAGATCACGTGAATGTTATAATCATTATTATATTTATTTTATATTTAGATCGTCAATGGTATTTGCTGTACTTCTCTTCACATTTCATTCTACTTCCTCCATATCGTCGTCTTTTTCCACATCTCTACCATATCATTCCACCATTCATGATGATGAAATGTCATTTGGCGGATATATAAAATCTTTTTTTGAACGTAATTATGAGTCCATAGGAAGAATTATGGCTTGGATTTGCACAGTATTATATTTGACTAGTAGAATGCCACAAATATGGAAAAATGTATGTTTTTAATTATAAATAATATATATATGTAGTAAATAAGATGTTTTTCTAAAAAAAAAAAATTTTCCTTTATTTCATAGTATACAAGAAGATCAGTCGAAGGACTTTCTGTTTTTATGTTTATATTCGCAGTCCTTGCCAATTTGTCTTATACCACATCAATCATCGTAAATCCGGAATCAAGAACGAACCCAGACTATTTTCGCAGAGAAATTCCCTATATATTAGGATCCATTGGCACATTAGTATTTGATGGTACAATACTTGTACAATGGTATATTTTACGTGATCCAGAGCACCGACATAGAAGACGAAGAAGTAAACGCTCTGTCAGTTATGGTAGTGATAATATAGGGTATCATCAATTACCGATGGATAATGAAAATTATAGTAATAGAAGAAGAAGTGGTCAAATAGACGGTGGAAATTTTGTTTAAGATATTCTTTGTTTGGAGTTTATAAGACTTGTAGTTCTGAGTCGATTATAATTTTTATTTTATTTTATTTTTTAATTTCTATTTTATTATGATAATTATATATGGTGGCCGAGATTTATTGTTTTACATATAGCTACTACAAAACTTTAATGGAAAAAAAATCCACACTTACGATATTCGGTGAAGATTCATGAAATTCCACTCAGATTTTTCGTTGACAAAAAAAAAGCATTTCAAAAATTTTTTTTTTATTCATTGTTTTTTTTTTCTTGTAATATTTTACATTTCCATCCCAGCATTTTCCCTTTTTTTCTCAATTACTATGCAGAAAATTATCCCCCTTTCTTTATTATTACCTTTCCTTCCGTTAATGAATAATAATCTAATATATAATAATATATAAGAAATAATATTTCTTTCTTAATTTACACAATCGGAAAGAATTTGCTCCATTTTTTAATTTTTGGAAAGGCACATTTTGTCCTTTATTTTTGTATGTCCTTAGGATATACTCTTTTTTGCGGGTTTCTTTTTCTCTTTTTTTTTTTTTTTT